AAAGACTAAACACACAATTTCGGTTGGACCGAAACGTGGTTCGGTGTCTCCGAGATGCTAGGGTTTCACTTAAACTTTACTTTCGATCTCATCGATTAGTACATTTCGGTGGAACCGATTTGTACTTGTGCAATGGCCAGAGCCAAATCGGCGGGACCGAAAATTCCTATTCGGTCGGTCCGATATGCGTTCAGCGGAAACCTAAACCTAAATTTTTTGCTCGAATTTATTCTAAGGAACTAATCTAGTGAATAGAGGCATTACAATTGTGTCAATATACATGGAAAAATCCTTGTGCATTAAATTGGAGAAAAGAAAGCATGAGGAGATCGAATCTCACCCTAACTCGGTGGAGATCCTCTACGGCGGCAACGCGGAGCCGAATCCATTGACGACGGCAATGGCGGAGCAGAATCCGTTGATAGCGGAGGATTCCTGCAGTGAAGGTGCACAAGAGACGACGGCGATGATCCGGAGACCAAGGGGCGGCGGCAACGGGGTGCGGAGTCGTACCGTTTGAAAATGGTTTCAACATACGGTCGTGCGGAGTATATATACCCGTGTACTGTCGGTGGCACTGAGTGGAACAAATCGGTGGCACCAAGATGTGCAACTACGTGTAGTTACAACAAATCGATGGGACAAAGTTGGTCTAATCGGTAGCACCAAGATGAAAACCTAGACCAGTCTTTATGATTTCGATTCGACCGAGTTTTAGTGAGTTGGTCTAACCAAAATGCATGAAGAAGGTTTTGGAAGGCAGCCTTAGTTGGATCGGTGGCTCCGAGTGCTCCTCACCCGGAGGGTGCAAAAAAGACTTGTTCAATTTTTGTGATGTAGCATGAAAATAATTTGAGATAAGAAGAGCATAGATAGCTAGAGGATGTTCTTAGGCATTCTTGTACATCCACTTGGTCAACAAAAACCAAGACAATGAAAACAACAAATGGATGTCCTCAATGGAGAAAATATGCAACCAACATGCTCATACAATAAGATACCAAATGAAATATGTGTCAAAGCATGCACAACCAATTCTAGCATCTATCAAGCAATTGGCGATGACTAGGTCATCTATATATGAGTATATTGACTTAGGAGTCAAATGAGAACATTTGATCATAGGTCATACTCATTGTTTAAGCACAAGTGGGGTTACCACATTTACATAAAACATTAATGTGTTCACACCATTAGAGTTGATTTAGCTCAATTCTTAGAGCAAAGCTCCCCCTAGATGTGATATCCCCCTAAAGAGGGATGAACTAACCTTGGGTTTTGTTGATGATGACTTTATGTAGACAGTGAAGATGTGGATGCTCAATGTTGATGTAGACCATATGGAGCAATCCTTTAGAGTGTTGCACTTTCAATACCTACAAGGGTTAGTCCCACAAGGAACATACAAGGATATCCATAGACATAGTGTGAATTGCACATAGTGAGAGCATTTGGTTACCTTGTCCCTTGTCTTACCAACAAAAAGTTTGTGACTCCATGAACTAGTGAAAGATATGAAAGTTGATTGCACAAGTCCTCGCCAATATGAATGTTAGTGGAGTATGTTGGTGGAGTCACCCTCAAGAACACTCTAGTTCTTCTTCTTTGGGACCCACATCAACTTGATGGGAATCCTTGGAGTTGTAGTTGAACTTGATGAAATAGAGCTTGATGTAGTCTTGGGAACCCACTTGACCATGGCCTTAGGAGCTTCTTCAAATGAGTCAATCTCTTCTTGAAGCTTGTCCTTCGCTTTTAGCTTGTGGTCTTGTGGTGGAAAATCATCTTGAGCTTGTGTTCCCTCAAAAGAAGTGGGGTCATACTTCTCTTGTTGAGGAACAAACTTCGTCTTGGGGCATTGATTTTCTTCCCATTCAACTCCATTGGCATTGAGCTTTCGTTCAATGTTTAATGTTTTGTCCTGGTTCCTATTAAATGGAGTGCCTTAATTACCATTAGTTTCTATTAGGACTCTACTGCCACGGAACGGTAGGACAAAAGATCTCATGCAAGTTTTTATGGCAAGCACGTACGACTATTTATGAAATGCATGCCTACTATGATTGATGAATTGGAGCTAGATTGCTTCATTCTAGGTTACGACCATTGCATATTGAAGCCCATCTCAGCAATCCCGTCGATTACTCCATGCCTTCGCTCGATTACTCTATGCCTACGCTTTTACTGCTAGTGTTTTCATTACAACAACTACTACACTCTTTGCTACTACGCTACAAACTTGTTATTATTACTATTGCTACTTTATCACCACTTCTACCTATATTACTGTGCTATTAATAAATTTTCGCAAGCAAGTTATCTCTTTAGGTGTTAGTTGAATTGATAACTCAACTGCTAAACATTATAAATATTCTTTGGCTTCCCTTGGGTCGAATCAATAAATTTGGATTGAAATACTTTCCTTGAAGATTGTTGCCATCATCTATACTTGCGGGTCATCATCCCCTCTGAATAGTGTGGGGTTCTCTATAACTCAAGAACAAAAATGAGGTTACGCCTATATCATTGTCACATACATCTAAAGTCTTCAACATTTTAAGGGGTATATGATCCATAACACAACATCTCAACTCGGACTAACACCTATAGATTTACTTAGCAAATATATTAGTCACCTACAAAAAAAATTCATCAATGTCAAAACATAGTTAAGGGCATAATTACACTTTCACATGCAGTGGAGCCTAAGAGCCAGACAAAATCTAGTTGTCGTTCTTGCCACAATATGTCGGCAAGTCGCACATTATGAGCGGCGAGTTGGGTGTTTATCTTTCCCTTTTCTTTCCTTTTTGGTTTTCCTTTCTTTGACTTTTTTGTTTAATTTTTAAAAAATGCTCAAGAATTTTTTTTATGTTTCATGATTTTTAGAAAGTTCACGAAATAAAAAATGTACATGTTTTTTTTAGAAAACACACACAATTTTTTAAATGTTCATGAAAACTTAAGAAAATTTATTCCCTTTTTAAAAAAGGTCACTTTTAAAATAAATAAATATTCATATTTCCCCTGAAACCACCACCCCCCCCCCCCACCCCGCCCCCCG